CCTGGATTCGAGCAATGAATTCAAGGTGCAAAAAAAGGGGGCAAAAAACTAACAAACACCCAAAATCTAAAAAAGAGACAGACCCTTGCCGAAGCTCATCCCTCTTTCTTGTAAGCCCCACTAAGGACATGACCACAGCCAAACGCACCTGCTTCTTATGGAATCAGAAAGGCAACCCTGAATTCACGGCTTCACAGGGTTGAAACTCTGCTCTCCCTGGTGAAATTCCTCTGCACTAAACCCATTGCACCGCCATAGCCTTTTCTCTTTTTACTATTTTAATCTGCTTTCCTGAAATGATTTCTCTGATCAAGTGTATAAGATCTCTGTCCCTTACAGGCTACAAGCATGAAAACAAAGCCTCAAGGAGGTGCGCCAGTCTACTTCCCTCTCAGAGCACTTAAATTACACTGTGCTGAAAGGTTATTATTGATTTCTTTTGTCCAGTGATGACAAAACATAAAGTCTAATAGACTATTAAAGTCAGCCTGTGGATGTTTTTGGCCTTGATCTGCACAACTGAGAAGGCATTTATTTTGTTTCATTTGCCTTGAATGCAAGGATACACAGCCTGTGGCGTTATACAGTTCTTTCAGGATTTTCACATTAATGTATTGAAGGTGTTTTGCAAAATATAATTTGAGGGTGTTAGGTAATACATCGAGGTATCAAATTGCTTGATGAGTAACGCAGAATATAAACCTTCTGTTTGTCAAGTCAACTCCAGAGAACAAACACTAAAGGCTAAAAGAGACTACAGAGGAGAGGACAGACAGTTGTACCACAGCCAGGAAGCCAGCCGCCCACTGGTGGAACACTGATGGTATTTTACCTTTGAAAAGAACAACGCTAGCCAAAAACCAACCCTGTAACTGAGTGGACTCCCAGTAACCAAACCAGTCTCACCTAAAACAAAGCAAAGCATTTAACTGTATCACTGTTTGGCATTTAAAAATAACATCCCCGTTCACTGTTCATCTTATAACAAATTTGTATTCTTAATTTATTGGTTGGCGTCAAATAATAATTTGAAGCGCATCGAACAAGAGCAAGTAACCTCTAGGGGTTAAGGTTAATATTATTATATTATTAAATTACATCAACAGTTTGCTCTGTGCATTTTTATAAATGACTAACAGTTATTTGTATGTTGAGTTTCATTGTGAGCGCTTCTCACCGTAGTCAACTCCACAGTTTCCAACAATTCTTCAAGACTTCCAAAACTGAGGTGCTCAGCACTCACCCCGTCTTACTGTCACTACATAACTTTAAAAACACTTAGACATTTAACAAGTTCCACAGGCGTTCAATTTTTAATGACTCTTGAAAACAAGTGTACACACTCAGGTCGTGGCCCTCACCTGACTGGTTTCTGCCCCTGCAAATATTCCCTTTGACATTTATGCACTATAGCTATGGACGCTCAGTTGAGTTGTCACATAGGTGAAGAATAATCTAATAGAATATAGCATATACAAGTTACATACAGACAGATACAATATATGTCATGCTGGTCTTTTACAATTAGGTCCCTACATTTTTGGAGAATGGCCAGTTTTTTGAGGTTTTGCCTTGGTGCATCACTACAGCGGATTTTAAATAAAACAATGGAGTGAAAAACTTTCAGATTCAATTCATAGACAGTTAATGCATTGCATTAACTGTTGGCTTGTTTAGATGTTTAATTGCCAGAGTCTAATGGCCTTCTCGTTCTTGAGTGCAACCATTACTTTTCCCCTTGCTGTAAATCCTCTGCAAGTCCATTCATAGAGGCATCTCTTGTTTGTAAATGTTGACATTAATGCACCTACCGCCTCGACCTGGCCAGATGTTGTGGAGTTTAGCACTTTAGCAGCCTTCTGTGCTCATTCATTCTTTAGATGTTACTGAGCTAAACAGTGCGTTCCTTCTTTTAATAAATGCACCAGATTATTGATTTGGCCACTCCTAAAGTTTTTGCTGTCTCTCTGATCCCCCACACCCACACCCACTAACACTGACATGTCTAAATGCAGTTTCAACACTTGAAATCAACTCTAGATCTTTTACTGCATAAAAGAAAAACAACAAGGAAGCAGGCCTCACCTGCCCATAAAACTGCTCGTTGGTCAGTTGTCTAATTATTTTTGAGCCTCTGAAAATGGGCAGATATGTAGAAAAATGGCCATAATTCCTAAGATAGACTTTTGATGTAAAGCTGAAAGACTGCACTTCAATAATATCTTAATTGCTATATTTAAAACACGTTGATGGTACACAGGAGCAAGAATACAACAAATGTGCAGAAATGTATAGACATAACTGTAGTTAGGAGTTAGATACATGTAAATTAGTTGGAAGACTTGATCTGTATCCTGATGTAACAGCCACTGACTCTTAATTTTTTTTAAGCTAACACAACTATTCTGAATCAGTTTGATAGGGTTTATGCAGGAAGATAAATAATCATGTTAATTGTATTTCTTCTCATTCTCCATTCTCTGGAGTTTACTGTCCAGGCAGAGATTCGTTAGAGTTTTTAACGTATTAAATTAGTTATTGCAGTGTGCTCAACGATCCGCTCATTTTCTATGTAGATCTCAATACATCTTACATTTCTGCATGTTTTACAGTCTGCACAGCACACACATCTCTTACTAACCTATCACTGAGAGTCCTTGAAACACTGATGATTTAGGCTTATGTTATGATTACAAAGTAACATCCGCTGTGTATATTTCCCATGCCAAACACATCTGTAACTGTGCACTTCTAGCTAACCATAAAGAGGCTCTTTCCTGTTTGTCAAATCTATTTTTGCCCATCAGCTCTTTTATGTAATTTTCAGTCTTTTTTCTTCATCCAAGGGAAACTGAACCCCTTTTAGAGCAATGTGATTCAGACTTGCATTTGTATTTCATAAGCTGCATTTGCTGCATCTGCTTTGAGCATACTGCTGAGGTGCCAAAAATGGTTTCAGAGCGGTATAACATCTTAAAATGTATTTAAAAGGCTAAATTAAGCATGCAGCTGCTTTGTCAAAGAAGCTTTTGTGAGCTGCTCATGTCTGCCCCGTTAAATTCAATTTGCAATTCTGAAGTGAGTGAATTTGCCAGTTTAGTGGTTGAAAAAATACAAAGCACGCTGTTGAAGTATTCCCATTATTCCAAAAACTACTTGTACTTGTGTTCTGTACCTCAGTAACTGTCTCTTGATTCCAGTGGAGAGCTGTCAAACAGCCCCTACTGTTTCAGAACTCCATTCACAAGTCCTTGTCTCCCTCTGCAGGACATCAGCAGGGCTCACCATTTACTTTTAGTTTTCTCTCGTCTCACTAGCTGTCACTGTAATACAAGCTATAAATTGCGCATGTTATGTTTCATCATTTATAGCTGGGAAACGCGATATTTATACCAGATTGAATCTTTTTTTAATTTCATTTCATTTCCCAATCTGTGTTTCACCTGAGTCAAAGTGAGATTATGATTAAAAGTTGGTCATTTTAAGTTCTGCTAAATGGACAAAATCAAAAGCATATTTAATTTAAATAAAACCATAATATTGCCAAAATGCATCATGTCTAATTATGGTCTTTATTTTTTATAGCATTTAAAGTTTTTCACCCACTAAACCCAATACTACGAGGAGCAGTTACTCACCTGAAGCCCAGGACACTGACTCATGTCTGAAAAAATGAGTCTTCAAAGTGTCTGCAAGAGGATAAAGCCACCTTTATTCCACACTGTTGCTCAGCAGCTTCCACTGCCATATTTACTCATATTTTAACGCCATATCAATGCACCTAAACGGCCGCCTAATGAAGTAATTAGCCAGTTGTGACTTGGGCATGTTTTAAATCTGGATTTAAGCGTGGCGTTTCATTTACAGTTAAAAAATATATAAATTTTGTGCTCAGTTGAGCTTGATGGCCTTTTTGTGAGGATGATCTCAGAGCGCTTTTTTTTTTTTTTTTTTGGAAATAACACAAAAATGAGCTGAATGAAATGCCATGCTCATCATGTATTTCATTCTTAACCGATTTCACACAGTTAATCTGTATGCACTCCAAACTCATTACACCATAGAGTGCTAAAGGGCACATTACTCATCCAGGCATATCTGTGCGCGAGTGGGCCGCAGACGCCTCATGCAGAGAAGCCCACGTGGTTCTTTTCACCCATGATGATGTCATATCCAGAGACTTCCTGAACACAAGGTTCATTCACACAGCCCTCCTCCCGAAACGGGCCGAACACCAAACAAGCTATCTCCATAGCAACTGCAGCCTCGGGGTAGCATGTGAGTCCCCTTCTTGTTGTTATTTGTTATTTGAAGGAGGATTCAAAACTGTGTGCGTACTGTCCTCCCTCACGTGTGCCCGTGTAAATACCGCATGACATTCAAAGGGTCGAGTTCTGGATATTTTCATGCCGTATAAGCTATTAGCAAACATACAGAGTCTCCGATGAATAGGACTACATCTGTCCCTGGCGCAGTACAGGAAGGGAGTAGTTGATGAGTCACTGTCTTCTTTGGGTCTATTAATTTACAATTTTCCTCTCGAAAATGAAGAGAACGTTTTAGCTTATATGCCCAGAATATTTAAGGCTGATCAGAATCTAAATGCATGTTAAATTATTCATTCACTGCATTAATGGGAAAAGCGACACATTTAAACAAACACCATCATAATGTGTGGCGGGATTATTTATTGCTTCATTCAGGAATACAAAAATGGCATCAATGGGTTTTTTTTTATCATTTAATTTTATTTTTTTTAGAGGCACAAATGCTCAAACAGATTGATGACAATTCTCATCATAGAAAATTGAATAAGACAGTATTAATAACATTTCCATTACCATAGGATGTAAAATAATAAGACAGACAAAAATATACTATAAAACTACTATAGGTAAGGTTAATGTAAATCCCTTCAGATTAAAGATACATGGCAATAAAACAAAGACAACATATGTGTATTCTACAGAAAAAGAGAGAAAATGATATATGACAACAAATGACTTCTCTTAACGCTTTATTTACTATTTACACAAAAGGGGAAAAAGGTGTTTCATACAAATTACATTCAAGAAATGTCAGATGCACTTGTACTGCACTGGCTCAATGAGAAATATCCTTAAATGATCAATATTAGCTTTACGAATATAACAAAATATAGTTATTTTCTATCAAATAGGTCCACATCAAGTGCTAACTCTTGCGACTCAGGCCTACATTTTACTTTAATGTATTTTTACTGCTTTAGAGTTACATAACTGGCACTTGGTATTTAATGTACTACTGTTCACTCAGAATTACACTTAAACTTGTGCTTTTCTATTTAAGGCGAGATATACGAGCACATCGGTAATCCTGACTGTATAACTATTTTGTGCTTATGTTTTACGGCAAATACAGAAAATAATTTCTATGCTCTTTGCATCTGCAAGCACAATAGTTCTGAATAGACAGGCAATTAGCTCCAAGCATAATGATGGCCATTATGGATAAATTCAAAATGCAGCTATTCACAAAACAATACACAGTTTAAACTTTGGACATTTTGTTGCTGAGTTGTTATTACGATTTTTTTTTAAAAAGAACAAAATATCAAATTAAATCAAATGATCTCACTTCAGTTTGCATGAGTGAGACTTAAGTTAGATTGTTAGCTGCAATATTGGGAAATAAAACCTCAACTATTGTGCATGGAAATCATTTAAAAATGAAGCACACGTCCCCATAAAGCTATCTTGGCACCTGGATATAATTGAATATATACTATATGAATAGGAAACGGTGCATTATTCACAAATAATATATAAAAATAATAATAATAAACATTGAAATCCCATTCTGAAAAACAGTGCATATTAGGAGATGTCACAATAGTTCATTTGTATATGCTTAAGGCAGCAGTGTGCGCTTCACAAGAAAACTGCACTTAAAATGAGATGATCAACACGTAAGCTTTGGTCAATCTTTACATGTAAAAAAAAATACATACAAAAAGACAAAAACACGCACTTTGTGCACAAAGGTTGAAAAAAAATGACCAAAAAACAAAGAACGTTGTACGTGTGATGACTTTACATCGCGACATTAACCTGTTGATGTCGTCTTTTATGATAAGGCAAACCGGTGCGGCTTTATTGTCTGGACATTATGGCTATGCTGTTTGTGGACTTCAACATTTTATGTTTTTTCTCTTTGGTTATAAACAGTGTTTCCACCTGAAAAACATCATGAACAACGTAAGGCACAATTTTCTGCCTTTCCTCAGTGGTGTTATCTGTTGGAAACCTGTCGGGTGTTGATGGCAGACATTACGGGTCAAATGAAATCTTCTGTTTGCCAAATGTTTATGGCAGGAAAACATCCAAAACAAACACAGCAGCCATATTTCTATCACCATGGGTAGCAAAAATAAGGAAGAGACGGTCTGATTGGTAGTGGAAATGCGTCACCTCGATGGACTGCCCGTTAATGTCTGTCTGTTTGTTTGTCGGCGGGGTGGGGGGGTAAGGGTATGTTGTCATTTCCTGCTGGAGTCCCTCCTCTATGTCTGACCTCTGGCCTGAACACCCGTCAGATCCTTTCTTATGATTTCATTCACTGTAAAGACAAATAAAGACGGCGATATCAGACACTGACGCGATCAGTATCACAAAGAAATTTCCAAATGGTAAGAAAACAATGCTTTCCTGACAACGTAAAACAGTGACATTGATAACATTCCTATTGGAAATATTCCTCCGTGAGAAAATTTACAGTCTGGCTGATATCCTGTGAAGGGCGTCGATGGAGGGTAGACAAATGCTGCATTTATATAGAGTAACCTCTAGAGGTAGCAAGCAATTACTGGTTGTTGCTCAGCCGATTACAAGTGTGTGTAAACACACACCGACAGCAGAGGAAGGGGGTTGAAATGGAAACTTTCATGGTGTCAAAGCTCTAAAAATAGGAGCACTGTATGTGTGTGTGTGTGTGGGGGGGGGGACATACAAGTTGCATTCGAAATAATAATAAATATTGCGTTTCACACATAATAGGTGCAGTTGTTTATCTCTCTCAGCAGCACAGGTTTGAGTTCATGTTGTTTTGTTTTTATCTGCTGAGTAAAACAGCCAAATAGTAGAGACCAGGAAGTGTAACTACTTGCTGTATAGTCTTACTTAAACTTCCTGCCTGCTTAGCTAGTTCAGCGTTAAGAAGCTAGGAATGATGACTATGTGTAATATGTCATTGCTTCAGAAATGCCATGCCGTCTGTGTTGAGCTGTGGTGTTTATCTGGCAGCCTGCTGTGTACACTCTGCCTCTCAGACATTATAGGCTGGTGCCACTGCTTCCACTATGCCCCGGGGAACTCATTAGGATGGCTGAGTAATAAAAGTATTTCAAAGAGGACCAAAAAAAGCTTCTTGCTTGTGACCAAGCCATTACAGAGCATATTATGCCTGTGATTCTGTAACCATGGTAATAGCCTTCATTTAAGGATTGGCCTATTGAACCGTTAAAATGTGATTATCCAGCTAGCGTAGTTCGTATAGCAGTCTGTCAGGTTTGCAGAGTTTTCTGCTAGAGTTTGTTTTTTTCATTCTTTTTTAAAAGGATGCTTCTGATTCTGTTTGACTTGGTATTCCTCATTAAATACACCGTAGTCAGATGTTTTATTTAGGAAATATGCCTCCTTATTAACAGGGTAAACAAGAAACCCACTACAGTCGTGAGCCAATTAGCTTAGGGAATAAAAGCATGCTAACCAGTCACCTAAGCTGTCAGTCATTATTTATAAGAACCCAAACAAGGAATAATATGTTTACTTGTGTCATTTATAAGGATACCCAACCTTCACACACATTTTTACCTTTAATTTCATGCCACTTGAATAAAAAACATGCGGGGTTTTTCTGCTCTGAGCGAGTTTTTGGCTTACAGCTGTTTGTAGGAGTCTTTCCTCTGATTTTATTAACTATCTGCAGCTTCATGCGGTGCTACAGCAGCAGGATCCAGATAGTGAGACATCTGCATTTTTGTGTATGGCACAACAGTCATAATTTTCATGACTTGTTATTCCTAATACACAAAATAGTACATTGCAATATGTACTATTTTATGCCATTTACTGTTAAAGTTGGTATTTCAGTGTCTGTGAAATCAGCAAATCATACATGAACCCAATAAAATGTCATCTATGAATGAAATATTTGAGTTATTATTGTGTTGTGGGAACCCAAGGTTAACATAAGTTGCCTTCTTTCTAACCTTACAGAAAATGACTTGCTCGTGCTCATTGGGCTACATATGTAATAATTATCCATTGACAAGAATACAAAAAAGATGATATATATTAAGCTGCCTCTGTAACTTCACACCTACAAATATAAAATATTCAAATCTGATTTTCTAACCACTGTTAGAAAAAAAACTGACATCTTGCTTTAGATAAAGATAGATTAACTCGGTCCAGCCCAACTGTGTATGTTCTATTTCCATCTTTAATTTACATAGTGTCAAATTTAAGGGTGCGACTACATTTAAGCTCATGTAAAACAATGTCTGACATTATCTCACCCACACAGCTGCACTTCTGAGCAGGCACAGAGCAAACCGAAGACCACAAAATATATTAGAAGCTAGGAAGAGTCGCGTTATGTTTCTTGGTTTGTTTTTCTGACTTGTTTTGAGTGTTGTGTGGTTTTTAGGGGCTACAAACTATAATTCTAATTCAAACTTAAAGTACCTTTAACTTTAACCCAGTCTTTGTTTCTTTCTCTCAGCCTCTCCCTTGTCTTCCTTTGTGAAAGAGCAGCTCAGCGCTGAGTGCATTTTTTCAGCCAAAGCAGCTTCTGAGACTTCCAGCACTGCAGGAGTAGCCAAACTGGATGCTCTGCTGTCGTCACAACATCGGCCTCCCTGTTTATTTTAGTCTGTAGTGGAATTCCCTCTGACACCCAATGCCTTAAAGAAACTTTCATCTATCCAGCAGTGCCACAGGATTTTTCCTGAGTATAAAACCAGCTTAGAGAAGGAGCAAGAGTGCCACAGAGGAGCAACATACAGTGGGGCTTTACTGATTCGAATGAAGGGTTGGCACACACTGGCAATTTGAGGCAGGCCTAGGGAACACTCAGACTAGTCTGTTCAATAGGTGAGTGTCTGGCTCCTGAGTTCTATACCAATGAGCTGGACTGTTTACCAACCAAAGGTGGGAAGAGAGGGGAGAGAAAGAGAGGGAGAGAAAGGGGAAACTCTGTACAGTAGCTGACTCAGTTGCCTGCTGTGAGCTGGAATGTGTGCGTTTGTGCATCTGCAAGTATCTGCATGTTCATACAGTGTACATGTTTGGACATACAGTATTTTTAATATTTTCATATGACCGAATCTATTTAAATGAAGCTCTTATTTCACTGCAATGACACTGTGAAGCTAAAAACACATCCACTGGAAAGAGAAAGTGGAGGGATCGGACTGACATCTAACTGCTATTCTAACTGCAGTTCTGGTGTGTCAGCACTTAGAGTGACAAGCTTGCATTTTGAAACAAAGCTCACACACACACACAGTGAAAAAAACCTGCTCGCGAGTGTTATTGTTATTTTTCTTGACGCTGGCATGAAGGGACTGATTTGAATCGGATTTGCATGAAAACATTTTCTCCATAATTCATTTTCTGTTCCTATGAGAGTCCAACTGTCAGATTTTTTATAGGTGTTAAACCCTTTTTGGTTTAATACATTTTGTTGCACATTAGCATTCAGGAGCAGTTTGAATTAAAATAAATTACAACCCCCCCC